AGAAAAAAATTGCGAGAGAACTGCATGATGCATAGATAATCTATGTGAATACATGATTGAGGCAGAGCACAAGAGAGGTTGATAAATCACCCCTGGGCAATCCAAGCTTTCACTGAAGCAATACAGTCAAGGAGCTTTAATGAATGAGTTTGTCAGGAAGTCAATTTCTCAGTAAATATGTATCACACTCAAAATGGGGGACAGAGTAATAAAGAACGTCCCTGGTGGTCCAGGGGCTAAGACTCCATGCTCCTAACACTGGGGATCTGGGTTCCATGCCTGGGAAGGGGACTAGATCCCACTTGCCATAGCTAAGACCTGGCATAGCCAAATAAATAAATCTTTTTTTTTTTTTAATGATGAAGAGGCATTATTTCAGGATCAAGCCCAATCTTTTAAAAATATTTCTCTGAACTCTTCATCCTCTCTTCTTAAACGTTCATCACTCCTTCAGCTTCCACTTTGTAGACGGCTGCTTGAGTCCTGACTGGTCTCTTGAACAACCTCCGGACACCCTCTGGCATCTTCCCGCTGAACATCTTTATCCACATGACCAAGCATACCTCGCCCCATTCCCCACGTCACTGATTTCCATGCAGGGCCCTGACTGCTGCTCAGTCACTCGGGCTAACGATTCAGAAGTTATTGGTTCCTTCCGGGTTCTCAGCAGGACAGAGAACTCATGGGTCTCTGTCCATCGCCTTCTCCCTTCTCCCCTTCTCTCTCTCTTTTTTTTTTTTTGCTCCATTCCCCCCCACCAATTAGTGTTCAAGAATAATTAACAGGGGCTTCCCTGGTGGTCCAGTGGTTAAGACTCCCAGCTTCCACTGCAAGGGATGCAGATTCCATCCTTGCTCAGGGAACTGAGATTCCATAAGCCTTGTGTTGTGCGGCTAAAAGAATAGATAAATAAAGGTGTGTGCTCAATAAGATTCTTTTTTAAAACTAAGAATGGCAAGCAACTAAAAAAACAAACATTTGAGAATGTGCTGGATATTGTGTTTGAAAAGTTAATTGTAGAAATGATGTGAGGACTCAGATGTTGAGCCTCTTAATTTGTTTCTGCCAGGCCTTGGGATTGTAGTAATCCAGGATTCCTTTAATCCAATTTCAGGATCTGAGCTTTTCTGGGTCAGCCAGATCAGATGGAGCTGACCCAGCCTGCAGGTTTATTTCTGGTTCTCTCTCACTCTTGTGATGCGGCCTTTCGGTGGCTCAGCCCCATGTGGCCAGCCTCCCAGAGCCCCATGTGGCCAGCCTTCTAGAGTCTCAGCATCCTCTTCAAGACCCTCCAACCTCTTTCGGGTAAAAGGGCCCTAAATGCCTGGCTTTCTGGATTTCCATTTCCATCTGCTCCCCTATCTTGGAGCAATTATTCCTCATCATCTTCTTAGTTTTTGTGAGACTTAGACTTGTACTTTTTATTCAGATTTTTCAGTTGTCTTCAGGCAGAGGGTCAGCACTAGTCTATCATTACAGAAAGCACAAAGAAACTTTAGGAACCACCATCCTAGAGGTTCAGCCACTAAAGAATCCACCAGCAATGCAGGAGACATGGGTTTGATGCCTGGGTCAAGAGTATCCCCTGGAGGGAGAAGTGGCCACACCCACTCCAGTAATCTTGCCTGGAAAATCCTGTGAACAGAGGTTCCTGGTGAGCAATAGCCCAGGGGGTGGCAAGAGTTAGGCACAACTTAGTGGCTAAACCACTACTCCCACCATCCTAGACTGTGCTGATGATCTCTTAATATCTCTGATCTTTCTTCCTCCCACTTTCCTCTCTGCTGCCAAATCAACATTTTTTAAAACAATATTTCCATCAAGTCATTTCCCTGCTCAAAAAACAAAACAAAACAAAACGAAACACTTCAATGATGCTGTATGTAGTAGCTCTGAACTATATCAACTTAGCAAGACTGGAATTTCCCAGAATTTCCTTTCCCGAATGGTGCTGGATCAGCGTCAGCCAATAGAGACACCGTGAATCATATTTGCAAGGAAGAAATAAAGCAGCTGCCAATTTTATGTTTTAACGTTTTCATTGCTGGTGGAAGGTGACAGGTACATTGCCTTGATTGGCAGGTAGGTCACACCATGTGGGGGGTTGTCCTTCCCTTCTCCCCCAGTTCACACGCACCTAGAATCTCAGAAGGAAACTTTATGTGGAAACAGGGCCTTTGCAAATATAGTTAGCTACATTAAGATGAGGTCTTACTAGGTCAGGGCAGGTCCTGGATCCAGAGACTGATGTCCTGGAGGCCACGGGAAGACACAGAAATGCAGACGCATAGAGGATAGCCCTGTGAAAACAGATGCAGAGATCAGAGGTATGTGGCTGTAAGGACTGCCAGCCACCACCAGAAGTCAGAGAGGATTCACTGCCAGATCCTCCCGGGAGGGGGCGTATGGCCCTGCCAGCACCTTGATTTTAGCCTCCACAACTGGAAGCAAATACATGTCTGTTGTCTCGAGCCATTTGTAATGCTCTGTCAGTGCCGCCCTAGCAAATGAATTCACCCCTCCTCCTGGCAGGTCTCCTCCTCGATTTCCTCCAACTCCCAGACTGAGCGCGTGTGTGGCTCCCTTGTGAAGGGTTCCGGCTTCTCCTCCACAGCCAACACTGCAGCCCACGGCATATGTGACCTTAGATTCCTGACCAGGGATTGAACCCGAGTCCCCTGCAGAAGGCAGTCTTAACCACTGGACCACCAGGGAAGTCCCAGGAATTGTCTTTTCCATGGACTCTTAACGACCCTTACCCTCCCACCACCCCAAAATGCATTTTCATGACTTCAGCACTTTGCTTATGCCTTTTCCTTTAATTGTCCCCTTTCCCCAAGAACTTTCCCAATGTCATCCTCAGCCTTGTGGTACAAAGGAAACACCTTTTTCTCTTAAGTCAGACTGACCTGTGTTTGAAGGTCAGCTCTATCTATAACCTGCTACCAATTTGTTAGATTCTCTAAGCCTCAGTCTCATATCACAAAACTCCTATGTTACACATGTAAAATAATATTTAATAAAGTCACATACAGGTCTCTGATTCCCCTGTTAGACTATAGATCTTCAACTTTTAAAAACTATAACCAACAGTGAGAACATATTTTGTATTGCAACTCAATTCACGCATGTACACACAGCCTCCCAGCCCCGCCCACATATACACAGAAAACAGAAACAAGTCTCCTGAGTAGTGCACGCCCTTACCACTTGTAGCACGCATTATTCTGTTCTTTCATATAGTGGTCAGGACTCACTAAACGGATCTCATGAAGCACAGACACTGAAAAATGCTGAGACGGTTTGGGTTCTTTTATGTCAGAGAGCACATTTTATTTATTTTTGTATTGCTCCTGGCTAGCACAGTGCCTGGCACAAAGCGGGTATCTGACAAATACTTGCCATATACTTGGGTTTTGCTTGCGGGCAGGAATCTTGTCTTGGTTATCTTGTATCCATTCCACAGCTAGCATAATTCTTCCCACAACGTTTAGAGATCAAATGGCTAAGTCCAGGCCTACTGCCAGGCTTTGGGGATCAAACATTTGTTGTTGTCTTTTTTTATATATACTTCTTTTTATTTATGTATTTATTTGGCTGCACTGAGTCTTCGTTGTGGCATGCGGGATTTTTTTTGAAGGTTTATTTATTTTGGGCTGTGCTGCATCTTCATTGCTATGCAGGCTTTCTCTAGTTGCAGTGAGCAGGGGCTACTCTTTGCTGCCACACGCGGGCTCCTCATTGCAGCTTCTCTTGTTATGGAGCACAGGCTCCGGTTGCACGGGCTTCAGTAGTTCCAGCACGTGGGCTCAGAAGTTGTGGCCATGGGCTCAGTTGCCCTGAGGCCTGTGGGATTTCCCCGACCAGAGATCAGACCTGTGTCGCCTGCATTAGCGGGCGGATTCTTAACTACTGGACCACCAAGGAAGCCGCGTGCGGAACCTTTGTATGCATGCGGGATTTTTAGTTGCGGCGTTCAAACTCTTCCTTGCAACAAGTGGGATCTAGTTCCCTGACCAGGGATGGAACTGCGGCTCCTTGCATTGGGAATATGGAGCCCTAGCCACAGGACCACCAGGGAAGTCCCTGAGATCAAACATTTGGATCAGTCAGTATCTGACAGGCACCTACTATGTGGTGATGCTTCAATGCCAGATTGATGGCTCCTTCCTCTGACTATCTTAAAAACAGTGTGGGATTGCTGAGATGGGGATGTTGAATAATGAGAAACTTGAAAAAGAAAGAAGACACAGGGAGGCCAAAATCCCACCTTTATTATTAATAAGGACTAGATCAGAGAACATATAATAATGTGAGAACCAGCCTGGCCTGTTAATTAAACCTGAAGTGCAGACAATGCTGAACGAGGCCCTCCCTGTGCTGAAGGACACAGCCCGGCAGAGGGCGGCTCAGAGCCAAGAGGAAAGTGGGAGGAGCCGAACTCAGCGCAGCCAGCTTGTCTTTCCTAAAACGCACCCCTTAGACAAGTTACTCCTCCCCTGACTAGGGAGAGAAGGGATCAAAGGGCGTGGAGAGACCAGACGTAGTACCAACTGAGTACATATATATAGTATGTATTTGCGTGCATGAAATACTAAATAATAAAACAATCCAAAAGTGAACGTGAAAGTCGCTCAGTCGCGTCTGACTCTTGGTGACCCCATGGACTGTAGTCCATGGAATTCTCCAGGCCAGAATACTGGAGTGGGTAGCCTTTCCTTCTCCAGGGGATCTTCCCAACCCAGGGATTGAACCCAGGTCTCCCACATTGCAGGTGGATTCTTTACCAGCTGAGCCACAAGGGAAGCCCAAACAATCCAAGGAATACCACAAAGTGTGGTGGTGGTTTAGTCCCTAAGTCATGTCCAACACTTCAAGACCCCATGGACTGTAGCCCACGAGGCCCATGGGATTTCCCAAGCGAGAACACTGGAGTGGGTTGTCATTTCCTTCTCCAGGGGATCTCCTGCAGTGCAGGCAGATTCTTTACCACCTGAGCTATGAGGGAAGCAGATCGCCAAGTAAGGACTTAATTATTTGCTAAATGGAGTTGACATTTGTGTTTCTCAAGTCTGATTGTTCATCAAAACTTCTGGGACATTAAGTAATTAGAGGCCCTCTCTAACCCCCTCCCCAGCTTCCATATACTTTCCATGAAATCCAGGAATCTGATTTGAAAGCTTCCTGGGTAATTTCGGTATACCGAAATCTCAGGTGTGGGCTGAGAAGCATTGACTGAGAGGTAAACAAGTGATCTGGACTCAGGAAGGTCTTATTGAGGGGGAAATTGCACCGATATTGCAGGATAAGAAGGATTGAGATAGAAAGCAGAGCATCTGTACCGGAAGGAGGACAGTAAGTAGGACTTCAGAAATAACTGTGGCTCAGGGGTAAGCTCGAGACCTTGTTCTTGAAAACCCTTACAAAGTTTATCCTTGGAAAATAATCTATGCTGACAAATGACAAGACATTATTGCAGCATGGCTTAGTGGGAAAGACCGTGAACTGTTGAGTTATGAGATGGTTCCTGGTTGTGTGACTTTACCTCCATCACAATATCCATCACCTAGATATTTAAGGATCATTTTTTTTTCCAGTAGTCATGTATGGATGTGAGTGTTGGACAGTGAAGAAAGCTGAGCGCCGAAGAACTGATGCTTTTGTATTGTGGTGTTGGAGAAGACTCTTGAGAGTCCCTTGGACTGCAAGGAGATCCAACCAGTCCATCCTAAAGGAGATCAGTGCTGGGTGTTCATTGGAGGGACTGATGTTGAAGCTGAAACTCCAATACTTTGGCCACCTCATGCAAAGAGTTGACTCATTGGAAAAGACCCTGATGCTGGGAGGGATTGGGGGCAGGAGGAGAAGGGGACAACAGAGGATGAGATGGCTGGATGGAGTCACCGACTCGATGGGCATGAGTTTGAGTAAACTCTGGGAGTTGGTGATAGACAGGGAGGCCTGGCGTGCTGAGATTCATGGGGTCGCAAAGAGTCGGACACGACTGACCCTGATGCTGGGAGGGATTGGGGGCAGGAGGAGAAGGGGACAACAGAGGATGAGATGGCTGGATGGAGTCACCGACTCGATGGGCATGAGTCTGAGTAAACTCTGGGAATTGGTGATAGACAGGGAGGCCTGGCGTGCTGAGATTCATGGGGTCGCAAAGAGTCGGACACGACTGAGAGACTGAACTGAACTGAACTGAACTGGTTGAAGGAGAGCACTGAGGATTTTTCCCAAAGCAGTGTCTTCCTGAACAGAACTGGGAAAGTTTTAAGCTAAGGGTATATGCATATTCGTCAAGGGGCTTGGGAGGTCAACAGAGTCTAGCTTTAGTTGGATTGAAAACCAGAGAGTCAGAAAAGGTCAACATCCTCCCTTAGGGTGCCTCAAGGGGGTTTGAATTTTGCAAAACACCTCAAGAAAGTGCTTCAGGCTAATGGGAACTATTAAAACAGAAGTGGGAGTTTACAAATGATTTGTTATCTTTGCTATTGTTACTTCTATTGCCTGATAACAGACTTTTGTTCCTTGCAGTTCTAGGACAAGGGGGCTGGGGGGATGGCCAGGTGAAGAGTACAAAAACTTGTTTAGTCGCTCAGTCTGTCCCACTCTACTCTTTAGGACCCCAGTGACTGCAGCACGCCAGGCTTCCCTGTGCGTCACCATCCCCCAGAGTTTGCTCAAACTCACGGGGTCACAAAGAGTCGGACATGACTAAGTGACTAACACTACACTACTTACTACATGGCCATTGATGGAGTTTGTGAAATGGCTTAGGCCAAAAATGGCTTCTGTTCTCTTCCTCAGCGGACCCTCTACCTCGCCTGCTTAGAAGTGGCCAGGGGAAAGGAATCGGAACAAGAGTGGAGGGGTATGTCAGGGAGCAACAGACTTATAGCAAATCATGAAGGCTATACATGGCTCCTTCTAAAAGTGCAATACACATTTCTCCTCATTTCTTCTGGGGCCACCTCTTCAAGGAATGAGTGTCATCTGGCGGAATTGAGGAGTTTTAATTTCAGAGGACAGTAATTGAGATGATCACATCGTCCTCTTTCGCGGCGTATTTGGGCCAGTGCGGCAAAATCTTCACTTGTGGGTCATCTGTCACTTGGTCTCAAGAAAGCGGCTGAATGAAATTCACAACTCAGGCGAATTAAGGGCAAAGCTGAGGTCCGTAAGTCCCTCGCGGGCCGTTTCCGAAATACATTATCTATGAAAACATATAACAACATCTATTACGGGCGGGGGGCGTGGGAGGGAGACTGCATGCCTCTGGCCCCTCTCTTTGGCAGGGACGCAGGTCTCTCCTCAAAAGTCCCAAGTATCCAACTCTCGCCGCCAGCAAGAGGGCTAGGTTCACAAGCAACCAGTTTTTCAGGCAGCTGCGTCCCCTTTCTTCCTTCTTCGTGGTTCGTCGGTCACGGTGGCTTCAAACAGAACGACTCTGTGTGTCTGAAATCAACCCGGCACTCTGGCACACCGCGGGAGGGGTAGACCACTGCACGGATTCCGAGAACCGCAGTCAGTAGACAGAGGTTGGGCATGAGGGGAAAAAACCATAGGCTGAGGGAGGGAGAAGGAAAGCAACTGCGTCGGCGGTGCATTCTGGGAGTTGTAGTCCCCTAGGGGGCGGACTGCCCGAAGCTCCAGCGGGCTCTGCACTCCATCTCCCAGCAGGCCCCACGTCGCAGAGGCGGCGAGCGGAGGGGGCGCCAAGTGACGAACTGCCGCAGGGGGAGGGGGCCTGGGGTGGAGAAGCGCTGCGGACGCCGCGGGGAGACGTTACCTGCCGTGCGCGAGGGGGGCCGAGGGACCCTCGGGCGGGCGACCGCGAGGGTCAGGCGGCCGCCGCACGCTCCGGTGCTCGCCCTCGGCCCGCCTCAAGGGCTCGCGGCGTCCGCCATGGAAGCACATCCGGCCGCCTCCGGGGTCTCCCGGAGCCGCGTCCCCGGGTCCCCGGAGCGATGAACGAGTAGGGGCACCCCCACGCTCCGCCTCCCGCCCGCCATCGGTCGGTCGCCCTGAGAGGGACCGCGCGGACCGGCTGCCGGCCGCTTGCTGGTGTTCGTGGCCACGCTGCTGATCGTGCTGCTGCTGATGGTGTGCGGTGAGTGGGTAGTTCACACCCGCCGGCTCGGCTTGTCCTGCCGACTGGCTGGTTCTGTCTCTCGTTTTTAAAAGAGAAAAAAAGAAAAAAGATGGTCTGGGTGGGCAAGTGTCGAAAAACCATCGGTTCTCCACTTGCCCCTCGGGAGTGAGCCCGGAGCTGGGTACCCCTGACCACCGCGGGCCCGCTGGCGTCCCGCAGAGGAGGGAGCCTGGTCCAGCGCTGGGCGTGTGGACCCGGGATTAAGCCTGGCCGCCGCAGCGCCTCGATCGCCACCCTTGCCACAGATCAGCCCATATCGTCACCTTGGCCTGTTTGCGAAGGTGCAGTGATTCGTCCTCTTTCTGTCTTTTTACACCTTCTGACTCCCGACGATAAAGCGAGGGAGGTTTCATTACCTTCCTTGAACCAGGGACAGAAGCAAGAGTTGGCTTTGCAGCACGCGTGAGATTGTTTGCTTGGAGTTTAGGCGTAAGCTCAATTCCAAACAGCAGTGTCGAGACGAGGCAGAACTTAAAAAACACCGGCTATATTAAACTTCCAGGGTCAGGTAACCTAACTCTTAGTTCTGTAGTAATGGTGCTATTTTGTTTGCTGTGATTTTGGTATTTTTCCTTCCCCTCCATGGAATGAGAGAACGTGAAACTTTTTTTCTCAAGGTAATTTTAGCGCAATTGTAGATCTTTTTTTTTTTTTCCTAATACACAGTAACTGGTAGCTACCCAGCCATCTCATCCTCTGCCATCTTCTCCTTCTGCCCTCAATCTTTCCCAGCATCAGGGACTTTTCCAATGAGTCGTCTGTTCGCATCAGATGACAAAAATACTGGTGGTGGGATGGCATCACCAATGCAATGAACGTGAACTTGTACAAAATCTAGGAGATTGTGGGGGACAGGAAGGCCAGGTGTGCTGCAGTCCATGGGGTTGCAAAGAGTGGGATAGGACTGGGCAACTGAACAACAAACAACAGCAGACAGCCACAGCTCTCTTAGCAAAGGGGCTGAGCAATTGTGAACATTTGGGAAAGTGTTTACAACCAGATGTCAGTGAGTTTGCTTTTTCATAATTATCACATTGAAGTATGGATTCAGATTGATGCAATAATTGGTTAGTATTCAAAATATGGGGCTTAGTCATTATGTGATTAATGCACCAAGTGCTCGGTCAGCTGTGTTCGGAAACATTTAGGCATGTACATATATGTATATTTGTATTTATATACTTGTATGTGTATTTAAAATTTTCTTTTACATGATCATATACATGTGTATATATAGATACACTTGTATGTATATACTTGTTTGTATATTTTTAGTTTTCTTGCTTTTACTAAGGCACTAGAGCTAAAGTTTCTAACTTACAGGCTTTTCTGATGATAAAGCAATTGGAAGGAAGGCCTTTCTCAACTTCCTGCCTGTGATGTCAGGATTTGGGGCTAATTGTAGATGTTTAGGATCCTTGAAATAAGGAAAACCAAATCTTTGTGATTTGTGTGGTTATGAGGAAGAGGTAAACATGCTTTCCTTTCTGATTTGAACATGCAAACTACCTGGAGATGGCAAGGTAAACCATACACCACTTCCTTGTTGTTCAGTCGCTAAGTCGTGTCCGACTCTTTGGGGCCCAATGAACTGCGTGCACCTGTCTGTCCTTCACTATCTCCCAGAGTCTGCTCAAACTCACATCCATTGAGTCTGTGATGCCATCCAACCATCTCATCCTCTGCCACTCCCTTCTCACCATTTTAGAGTATTTGCCAAACTTGCCTTTGAGACCTCAAAATTCCTATTTGCTACATGTCAGACTTGCTCTCTCAACCTTCAGTAGCTTTTGACTTAAATTCTACTCATTTTTCTAAAAGTACCCTGCCTTTGACTTCAGAAAACAGTGTGGAATGAGAGGTGAGGTGTGGTAAGTAAAAGAATGCCATATTTTGATTGGAGTGGTCCAGAATAATAGCTGTAAGAAGTAATCTGAGCACTTTGTTGTTGGGAGAGTGATTGATGGGGTGGCTTCATGTTCTCACTAGTGGGGGAGCCTGGGGCTTAGGGAGGGGGAGGGATGGATCCCATCAGATTTGAGAGAGAAACTAAGTCTCCTGTAACAATATAGACATTAAACCACAGAAATTTATTTTCTTATAGTCTGGAGGCTAGAAGTTCAAGCAAGGTTAATTTCCTCTGAACCTCTTTACTTGACTTACAGATGACCATCTTCTCCCTGTGTCTTCATGTGACCTTTCATCTGTGTGTGTGTGTCTGTGTCCTAATCTTATGTAATAAGGGCACCGGTCATATTGGATTAGGGCCCCACCCTTATCAATTTACTTAACCTTTAAATAAACCTTTAAAGTCCTTGCTTCCAAACACAGTCACATTAGGGATTAAAAATCAATGACCTGGGTCTGCCCCAAGAAATGCGCCTCTCACATAGTGAATTCTCATTTTCAAATTTCAGGTTCCTTAGGGAGGTCTTCCTTCTCCTATCTGTTGGTTGTACTTCCTTGCCTCTCATTCATTCTAAAAATATTTTCTACTCCCACTATTCACCGAAACTGCCGTTGTCAAGGTCAGTAACAAATGGCCTCCGTATCACCAAGTCCATGGTCACTTTTGAGTTCTAATTCTCTTTAACCTCACAGACTCGTTCTGTCCAGGTAAGCATTCTTCCCAAGAAGCATTTCTCGTGGCTTCTGTACACTCTGCCTTCATGGTGTTCTTCCTACCATAGTGGTTAATTGTTTTATCTTTTCCTATCATCTCATCCCCTAGAATTTAACTCTTTTCGACTAAATCTATGATAGGAAATATTTTACATTACTCCCAGTACATTCATAAGTATATAGATTACATGTATCAATCAGTTTATATGTACATGTATCTATCTTCCCATCATCGCTCTTATCTCTGAAATAAAAATTTTACAGACTAGTACTTGGCCATTACTCCATGAGATGCATGCTATTTTCTACACTCCTATAATATATTGTGTTATAACAAAAATATATATATATTTCTGTTTTCACCTTCCTTCCGTTCTGTCCCTTATCTAGTTCTAAAGATTTAAATAGTAACTGTAACGAATGACTAACATTGGTATCTCCAGCTATCACGACTCGCCTGCACCCTAGGCTCATGCCTCAGTGCCCTGACTTGGAGATCTAATAACCATCTCAAACTAAACACATCTAAAACAGAACTTTTGATTTCTACCACCTGTTTGTTCCTCCCTGCTCACATGTTACCAGCAGCCAGGGGCTTCGGTGTCATTCTTGGATTTGCCCTTTCCTTACAGATACTCACTCCATCTAGAAGTCACTTCAGTTTTGTCTCTCTCTTTTTTTTTTGCCTTCCAGTATTACTGAGCTATAATTGACTTACAGTTCTGTGTAAGTTTAGAGCTTCCCAGGGGGCTCAGTGGTAAAGAATCCGGCTGCAATATAGGAGACAAAGGTTTGAACCCCGGGTTGGGAAGATCCCCTGGAGAAGGGAATGGCAACCCACTCAGATATTCTTGCCTGGAGAATCCCATGGACAGAAGAGACTGGTGGGCTACAGTCCATGGGGTCACAAAAGAGTTGGACACGCCTGAGCAACTTAACAACAATTGTAGAGATCTAAGGAGTGCAACATAATATACACACATCATGAAATGATTATTATAGTAAGTTTGGTGAATATCCATCATCTCATAGATACAGAAGTAAAGAAATAGAAAAAAAATTTTTCCAGTGATGAGAACTCTCAGATCTACTCACTTAGCTTTCATATATAACATACATCTGTGTTAATTATATTTATCTTGTTGTACATTATGTCCCTAGTACTCTTCTTATAACTAGAAATTTATACCTTCATTCAATCCCATCCCTCTCCCCATCAGCCATAGATCTGACCTCTTTTTCTATGAATTTGTTTGTTTTTAAGTACTAATTGACTTACCACACTGTTAGTTCCTGTTACAGGGTATCGGGATTTGATATTTGTATACATTTCAAAGTGATCACCATGAAAGCCTAGTCATATCTGTCACCGTACAAAGATACTACATAGTTATTGACTTTATTCCCCTTGCTGTACAGTTCATACCCATGACTCACTTACTTTGCAACTCTAAGTTTGTACTTCTTAATCTCTTTCACCTATTTCTCCCTGCCCCACCCCCCCTCCTTTGGCAACCATCTGTTTGTTCTCTGTATCTATGACTCTGTTTATGTTTAGTTACGGTTGTTCATTTGATTTGTTTTTTAGATTCCACCTGTAAGTGAAATCATAGAGTGTTTTTTTCTTTCTCTGTCTGACTTATGACACTAACGTAATACCTTCTAGATCTATCCAGGTTGTTACAAATGGCAAGATTTCATTTTTTAACCCCTATGGCTGAGTGATACTCCACTGTATACATATACTTCATCTTTGTTATCTATCCATTTCCCTTTGGACCGACTGTCTCCTGAGTTTCAGTCTGTGTTTGTCTGTTTTGTCTGTGGTGGTTTGAATCTCTGGATGTGGCACTCAGTGGCACATCCATATTTTATGCGTTTGTTTCCTTCACTAGAGTGTAGGCTCAGTGAAGACAGGGATCTTCTTTGGCTTGTTCACTTCTCTCTTCCTGGAGCTTGGAGAGTGATGCCTGACATGTAGAGGGCCCTTGTATATTTGAAGTAGCAGTGAAGAAAGATTGCTCTGTATAAATGATGAAATTCCTATTAGAAACACACTCTTAAGTGTAGTACAAACCACGGTTGTCTCAAACTGGATAGCCCTTGTGTTACTCAGTAAAATACCCTTGCTGCTGCAGCTGCTAAGTCGCGTCAGTCGTGTCTGACTCTGTGCGACCCCGTGGATGGCAGCCCCCCAGGCTCCGCCGTCCCTGGGATTCTCCAGGCAAGAACACGGGAGGGGGCTGCCGCTTCCCTTAGTGAACTCTTACATGCAGGTGCTGTGGTGGGGGTCATGAGTGTTCAAAAATTATAAAGCATAATCCCCAGTATACTTT